CACCTCCATGAGAGGTGCTGAGAAGCGTGCTGCAAACGGAGCTGGTTCTCATTTGTCACTCTGACTTGCACTCTTGGAGTGCAACACATGCTCCTCCAGGCTCTAATTAATCCCCAGCACCTTCTCACCAGGCTTGACTTCCAGGTACCTTCCCAGGCTTACCAACAGAAGCAAGCACACCACGGGAGGATCTTTTTCCTAAGTTTTGGCAACCAACCTGAGAAACAAAGATTTTGTTATATCAAGATAATTTCCTGGGCTGGGGTTGTGGCTCAGCAGTAGAGCATTCGCGTAGCACGTGCGAGGCCCTGGATTTGATCCTCAGCACCACATAAAAATAAATAAAGGTATTGCGTCCAACTACAACCAAAAAAATAATAATAATAATGATAATAAATATATATAAAAAAAGATAATTTCCTGTGTTTCATGGTGTCTTTATAAGTTTTTGGTTACTTAGGAAAATTGGCCCTCTTTCTTTTTTCCCACATCTATTTGCTATTGAATTATTTTACTTGTCATTCTCGTTTAATAATAATTGATTATTATTTGATATTGATCTTAACCCTATTTTGCTTGAATGTTTCTAAAATATTGACATGTGGAGCATTCTGCCCAGAATCAAAGTTCTAAATGAGTCTTTTCACGTAGAGTTAACAGAGATTTTCCAGCTGGGCTGTGTATCTCGAGTGTCCCCTAATGGTCCATGTGCTAAAGACGTGGTCCCCAGCTGATGGTACCCCTGGGAGGCGCTGGAACCTTTAGATGGCAGGGCCTAGTGGAAGGAAGGTCACTGGGAACTTACGTAAAGGGAGAGTGCGACCAGGGCCCTGCCCTCTCTCTTTGCTGCCCCCTCCACTTGCTCTGCCATGATATTCTGCCTCACACAGACCCAATGCTTCGTGGTCAACTGACCATGAACTGAATCTCTGAACCTTGAACCATAAACTTATCCTCCTTGTGAGTTGCTTAGGTCAGGTATTTTGTCCCAGGGATGGAAAACTGACTAACACAGGCCACCAAACATCCTCAAAGGGAAACAAACCTTATTTTGTAATAAACCAACTCTGCTTACCTGGAATGTTGGGTTGAATGGGAAACACTTTAAATAATAAAGCAATGCTAAATCTTTTTAAAGTTATATTTGTATGGACAGATTACTGATGTAAAATTTATGAATTCTGATATTCCTAGTGTCAGTCATGCTGACAGTCATGATTGTATTTTAAAATCCTGTATGTGATGAAAATCACTACTTCCTCATCCTCTGCTGAACTCTTGTCAGGATGCTAAGCAGGCTATTCTAAGTCTCTTGTCATCCCCCATTCTGATTCTTTCCTACACGATTGCAATCATTGAGCATTAACACACCAACACTCTAAAGAGCACTCCTGAAGATCAATGGAATCAACAGGAATTTCCAGGACTCAATGAAGAAACTGAGGGGCTCATGAAACCACTAGCCAAGATCAAACTGAATCGGACCCCTCATGTGAGATGGACTAAACTGATACAATTTACACATTTTTACATCTTTTATTTAAATAGTTTTTGGCTTTTTTACTTAAATGCTTTTGTCTTCTAGATTTGAGAAAACATCTTTCTTATAGTCTACAGCAATTTAGTAAAGTACGCTTTTGTGAACACAGAAACACATTTTTCTTCCCTACCTGGTACTTCAAACATTCAGAAACTAATCATACTTTTATTTTTTATGCAAATATAGTAATTTGTACAAGTTTAGTAAGAATCTGTTCTCTTTATAGTCTACAGATGGGAATAATGGCTTCAATTGGAATGCCATATTTGAAAATATGTGTAGAATTCCCGGCTTCAAGGGTTCCCAGCCTTATAGTGAGCAAATAAAAACTGTCACTCTTCTGTAGTCCCTGGGACTCTAAGGCATCGTGGTGCTACATGTGAAACCTGAAGCCTACCTTCAGAGGGTTCAAAATCTGAGATTACAATATGGCAACTCACTGTCCTGCTGAGCTAATGTAAATAATCCAAATTGGTAAGACTAAGCTTATTTTGCAAAATAATTAGTTTTTCTTTGATTACTTTTGCTCCAATTTTGGTAAGACTGCAAGTACAAAATTGTTTCAGAAGCAAACTACAGTACACTCACTATTAGACTGCATCTTTATTCATTGTTTTTGGGTTCCTACTATTTACCTCTAGATGGGACTAGATCCTAAATCATCCTAGCTTTTTCCCTAATATCTGGCTACAATTCTCCAACTAAGAATGGGAACTGCTCTTTTCTAAAGAGCTAAAAGCTGAAACGATGCAGCTTGATACAAATTTCAAGAAATAAGCCTTGTGTTTGATGTATAGGCTTCACAGCAAGTTTATCAAACCACCTGATGCTTTAACCAGAGACTCCAACTACAAATCAGTATGAGAAGTTTGGCTAGTCAGCCTGGGGGCAGCTTTTCCCAAGATGGTGGAACAATTCTCCCTATCACAATGCAGTGTCCTTGCCCTCTGAATCTTTCCTTGTTGCTATCACACGATAGGATACTGTTGTAGTTAATATTTCACAATCTCCCTACTGTAAGTAACCTGGCAGAATCTAAGGAATCCTTTACTTCACCTAGAAGGTAGCTCTGGCAACATCCCCAACTCAACTTTTCGTTCAACTTATTCTAATTGTCCGTTTTAATAACGCTCTCAATTCAACCTAGCTACAGGCATTGAATGATAAAATTATCTGTGCTAGTGGTAATACCACATGTTGTATCTGGATAAATCCTTTTGTGAAAATTGAGACCCAACCATACAAAATAAGAGAAATAAGCGAATAGGCTCAATGGTTACAACAGTTCCCATTGGACATTTAATTTTGTGTGTTTGTGTGTGTGTGTGTGTGTGGCACTGGGGATCAAATCCAGGGCCTCACACATGCCTTGGTTCAAGGCCCCTAAATTGTTATGTAATTGGATTTGTTGGATTTGTTTTATATTATTTCACTTTGAATTCATACCTATTGCTTGACAACTTTCTACAGAAGTACAACAGAATAATGATGGCCCAGGACTTTGATGATAGCCAATGTCTACAAAATAGGGAGAAAAAAATGAACTAATAGCGGACTCAGTTAAACAGTCTGAGATTCACTTTTTCTAAACCTCTTTATCGCTCAGATGTGGCTAAAATGTGGTCATATGTTGACAGACTTCTCACCTACACTTTACTCAGTGTTGACAGACTAGACCAAACCAACAACCAGACAGGCTAGTCCTGGCACCTAGGAACAATCAAACCCAAGTCCATGATGATCGAGTGGCAATGCTCTCAGAGAAAAAGCCTGACCCAAAGGGAGAAATGTGAAAGTGTTAAATCAGCAACAAGTCACTTCTGTCAAGTCCTAACAACACCACTAGCAGACCATACAGCTGATAAACACCACCAGCAGATCATGCAGCAGATAGGCTTTGAGGAAGGAGATCTCATGTATACATGCCCAGTACCAAGAACCAGCAAAAAGACTGCCAGACCTACAACTTTGAACAATGGCCACCACAACCTTACCCAAAATATAACTTCTGCAAGGATGTCTGTCCAACAATTGTTTATTCTTGTGCTGATACTACCCTTGTTGTTGACCTTTGTAGCCAAGCACCATTGTTGGAAAATATTTCACATAATCATCCTTGTTTTGTTGTCTTGAAAACTTCCCCCAGGGAAGCATATCCAAAGACGTTCGTCTTTGGATATGCATACAGTATATTACAGCACACAGACTTCATTGCAATGCTCTGCTATTCTCAAATTTATTAATCTTTGGAGAATATCTGTTATTTAGGTCAACATATCTAACAGTCTGACTCCAGAGCTCGCTTTTATCCAGTAGAGAAACACAAGTTCTGATGAATTTATGGAAAAGTATATATAGACAGGAGTCTCATTGATATTAAAATTGCAGTAAAGCTCTATCACATAACAAAAAAATAGATCAAGCAGACTGACAATAACTCTGCTTAACAGAATACTCTTTAGGAGCCTAAATTACATAGTACTCACTTAGCCTTTGTTCAACTCTGGCCTGGTTTAACGTTCCTGCAATGAAAGCTTAGAGGCAGTTGGTTAGGTGTAATGTGCCTGTCTCCAGTTAACTCCTGTACAGCAAACCCTCTGGGTCCCAGCCACCTGTTCTGGTCACTGGATCTGAAACTCTGTCCTTTTCCTCCAGTGGAATGTAAGACACCAGCAGAAAAAAAAGTCTTGTAAACACACACAAGTTGAATTCTCTCAACCTTTCTAGGAGGTGGGTGTTTTAAGGTAGGTTCCAAAAATCAAGGAGGTTGCTTAACCTGCCTATTTTCCAACAGCAGCTGAACTCAGCCTTCTCAGATGCAGGCACATTGTTTTAACTGTGCAGTTTTTCAGAGCCTGAATGAAAACATTAACATTTTGATTTAAAATTTTTGGTCAATTATTTGCTTTAGCTGTTTAAAAGCCAGACAAACCCCAACTTATTAGACCTAAAGACTTCAGATAATCATTTAAAAAATCTTCACAACTGCCCCCCACTCCCCCAAAATTAAAAGTCACTCTTAAGATGTGTTTAGGGTCCTTGCCTGGAAAGCCATCCCCATAGTCCTTGCATAAGGTGCTGGAGAAAGTCTGAATTGGTGTGCGAGTATGAATTTTTGGACCAGGTTCTCTAGTTGCAGCGGGGTCATCTGACTAGGGGAAACGTTCCACCAGGGACAAACATCCCAAAGGGTAACACAACTGCAATAGTGATTTAAGGCAACCAGCGCCATGTCTTGGGGTCAGAAACTGCAGACTGCCTCGAGAGGAACTCAATCCATGTGAGACTGTCACTTCCCAGGTCAAAGTCTCAACGCCTTTTCCCATCTCGCCTTTTCTGCCCTTTCTAACCGTCGCACGTCTTTTCCGGACCAACCCCCAGTGTTTCTGAACTAACTCCGGGGTCGCGGGATACAGGGAGCCGCACCGCCCGCGCAGCGCGCGGCAGCGGGGGACGTTACCGGTGCACGTAGTGGACGATGAACATGGCCAGGAGGATGCGGTTGGGCCAGCTGCGGAGACGCTCCGAGGACGCGCGAACGCACTCGCAGAGCGGCCAGACCAGCGAGGGCAGCTCCTGCAGGACCCAGGCGGTCTTCGCGGGAAGGCGGCGGCCCCGCCACTGCGGTGAGTAGCGGCCATAGGGAGCGCCCACCAGCAAGATCCACACGAAGCCCAGGGCGCCCAGGAAGCACTCTAGGCAGGCGAGCGCGTCCAGCAGGCGCGGCTCCGCCAGCTCCATCCCGGCAGGCGGCCGCTCGCTCCATGCCAGGAAGCGGCGGCGGGTGCCATATAGGGCGGCAGAAGGGGGCGGGCGGCCTGGTTACGCAAAGCCTGCGCGCCGCCTACGACTCAGCCTCCTCCGGGCCCGCGGTAGAAGCAGGGGTCCGGGAGTGGGACCAGCCACCTGCTCCGCCACCCAGCCGGCCAGTAGGACCCGCCAAACCGGCGGACCCAGCGCGCTGCGCCCACACAACTGGAGCCCCGCCCACAAGCCGGAGCCACGCCCTCCCGCCCGCGCATTCCGACGGCCCTTGCCCACACCACTGGAGCAGCGCCCTGGCCCTCGAGAAACCCCGCCCATACAGCCGGCCGCGCCCCCACGCGACCGGAGCCCCGCCCCCGCACTCAGAGCCCTCCTCTCCACGCCTACTCCAGGGCTGCCGGAGAACCCGCCACCGGGTCTCGCATTGCTCTGCGCACGCGCCGTTCCCAGGCGGTCCGCGGAGATGCCTGCGCTTGGGAGAGAGCGGCGTGCTTCGCATAAAGACGTGTTTGGAGCTCCTCTCAAGAGCCTCTCTTCCCTGCGGCGTGCTGCGTTTCTCTCGCGCTCGTTTTCCGGGAGGACGGGTTGTGGCGCTTTGGGCACATTTCTTGATGACCCCTGAAAGGACCAGGCCCACCCTCACGGGGGCCTTGGGCACAGGCCGGAAGTCCTGAGCGTCACGGCCTGGCGGGCCGGTGTCTGCGCGCAGCGTGCGCGGCCGCGTGGGCCATGGGGCGGCGGGCGCGGGGTCGGCGGCTCCAGCAGCAGCAGCGGTCGGAGGGCGTGGAGGACGGCGCCGAGGGCGGCGGGAAGCGCAGCGAGGCGGTAGGAGCCGGGCGCGGCGGGCCGGGCGCCGCCCGGTCCTCCCGACCCCCGGGCCCGCGGGCGCCGGCGAGGGGAGGCTCCTTGCGCCCTGCTTAGACTCCCGTTTGCTCCCCAGGGCTGGGAAGGCGGGTACCCCGAGATCGTCAAGGAGAACAAGCTGTTCGAGCACTACTACCAGGAGCTCAAGATCGTGCCCGAGGGCGAGTGGGACCAGTTCATGGGCGCACTCCGGGAACCCCTTCCGGCCACTTTGAGAATTACTGGCTACAAGAGGTAGGGCTGCCGGCAGGTCCAGGCCCAGGGGTTCCTCCGGGGAATGTTGGAGCGCCGCAGAGCTGCCTCTTTCCGGCCGTTTGCATGCAGGAAATATTGACCAGGGGCTCAGGGGTCAGTGAAATAGGTATAGGTCAAGGAGGCATTGCATTTGGTGGCCAGAGGGAAAGGTTTGGTGAGGAATTGGTGAGCTGAGGATCCTGCCTTTGCAACAAGAGAATATATGACATTGAATTTGCCTGATATAGCTAGGTGTTTATTTCCAATCACTGTAGTTAAGAGCTTTCTACGATGAGATGCAAGTAAAAATGAGCCGCAAGTAATAAATGCAAGGAAGGCATTTAGTGATTCATAAATATTGTTCATAAATTTTTAAGGAATGTGGTGTAAAGGCAATGGCTGAGGAACATCTTCTCTCCATGCAGTTGGCTTCAGTTTTAAAACACATGAAGTATTAAAGACTGCAGTGTATGAAGCTTGCTTGTTTTTTAATAGCCATGCAAAAGAAATTCTCCATTGCTTGAAGAACAAGTATTTCAAGGAATTGGAAGACCTGGAGGTGGATGGTCAGAAAGTTGAAGTTCCACAGCCACTAAGTTGGTAAGTACCACAAGGTTTAGTCATGTTGGATAATTCTTTGAGATTTTAATTTTTGTCCCCTGAATGTATCTCTCGGCAGTGCGTTTGCTGTTATCATGAAAAGTGACTTTGTGGACATCCTCAAAGAGCGCTTCTCACCACAGAACATTGGTATGCACGTGTTCACAAATGACTTGCAGTTTTCTGTTTCGGTCACTAACTTCACTTCGTTTGTTTTAGTAGGTCCAGTATCTTTTCTTCCTTGATGTTACCACTCTTGTTTCCATTTACAGCCTTTGTTTTCTCACCTCAGAATTATTGCAAAGTGGCTACACCACATTCATTCAGAAAAAAGACAGACTCAGTCTGACAGAAGTGGTGGATCATGTCGCGCCCCAGCCCAGACTTTACCTGCAGAGCTGGTCTGCAGCACTTTTTCTCCCAGTGCCAGTGTGCAGCGCCTTCTGTACTTGCGGGGGGCGGGGCGGGGGTCTCTAGGTTACCTGTTCTGGTTTCAGTTGTGTGAAGGGGATCCCCTGTTCCCACAGCACAGCCTGTCTTGTGAAATGTCTGGGATACTTGAACAATCTGGAGATGCCCAGCCCTGGGTTAACTTATAAAAGTTGTCAAAGCAGATTGTGATTGTTCTGTATTTAAGGTTGAGTTTGAGATATTGAGAATTCCCACCAAGAAAACCACAAACATTTTAAGTAATTGCTGCATGAGGATGAATTTAACAAGTGTTTTCTGGCAACTTTTGAGTATTGAAATGGGGTGGTGGTGGTGGTGTTTGGTATTGGGGATTGAACCCAGAGGAGGCACTTTGCCATTGAGCCACATCCCATGCCCTCTATTTTTTTTTTATTTTGAGTCTCAGGGTCTCACTAAGTTGCTTAGGTCCCTTGCTAAATTGTTGAGGCTGGCCTCAAACTTTAGATCCTCCTCCCGAGTTATTGGGATTACTGGCAAGTACCACTGTGCCTGGCTTTAGTAATCATATACTGGCGTCAGGTTTCATTAGTCATGGAGTTTAGCTTTGCTTGCTTTTCTTTCTCTAGCCATTTGGATTTTCAGTGTTGGTAACACAGATATGCATAGCACATACGTTTTGAATGAATGTGGAATGGTCACATACTAAAACATATGTGCAGCCAAGATCAAAATGAAATATCACCATCATAGAGTACATTTCTGCAATACAAAAATCAATGTTTTTTATTTTTGTTACAAATTTTAGTCAGATTTTCAGTTAAAAATTGAAGAGTATAGTGTAGGTAGATGACTCAGATTTTGGACTGCTGTTGGTGGTCACTAATGTCAGTGGAAAACAAAGATGTTTTTCAGCTGCCGTGGTTATGGCTTTGCTTAGTAAGGTGGCCTTCATGGTATCCAGTTTTTCTCCTCTTGAAGATTTCTCTTCCCTTGATTTGAAAATGTGATTGATGGTAATGACTCTTATGCATTTCTTCAAATGGAGACTGGCGTTTTTAGTTGTGCATGGATTTGCCACTTCATAGAATCAACTGAAAACATTTGTTCCTTAAGCCTCTGTCTAGGAGTGCAGGGATGGGGTAGAGGAGGTTTTGAAGATAACAGCATTTTTGTCTTATCTTGGCAGTTAGGTTGGTTAAGCTTGCCTCCATAGGGACGGGTGTGTTCTCGGGGCCAATCATTGTGGTCATTTTCTGCTGCAGGTTCCAACAAACTGAGAAACCATGGGTTGTAAATAAGTTTTGCTGTTTTTTATTGTTCTCTGCAAGCCACAAACTTGTTTTTTTCAGCTCTTTTGACATTCAACAGCCCCTTTCTCACTTTGTTGAATGAACATCATTTATAGGAAAAGGCAGTTCCGATGCCTCCAAGAAAGGCACTGTGCTTGTCTGTAGTTGAGTGAGAGTCATTCTGTCTCCCAAACGGTGTTTTGAATTTTAAGGCCTAAGTTTGTTTCTCTCAACTTATCAGTTTCAAATTAGTCACACGTATTTATGTTTGCCAGATGTTTCGTTTTCATTTTTTTGGTTGCTGCTCTGACTGCAGTTTGATGTACAGAACCATTGTGACCCTGCATTGTTAAATTGAGCACATTATTATTACACCTCAGACTTAGAGCCACAGTGAGATTTATTGCCACATGACATGTTGTGCATGGCTTGATATTAGATTGAGTGTGGTACTTACTGTGTCACAGCATACTCTTTGGGTAGTTGTAGATTAGGGGCTAGGTGCAGGTCAAATTTAAAAAGCATATCTTTTCTTATCAGTGATGTCATTATTTATAGAAAGTACAGATATATTCACAGAATTGGCAGGAGATGCTTTATTCTTAGATCGGTGTGATTTACAGTGAACCTAGGAGTTTAAATTAATGCCTTGTTGCGGGGGTTGGTGAAAAAAATGGTTTTTGGTATATTAAACATTTTAGCACATAATTTTGTTTTCTAAATAATAAAAATCAATTCATAATAGCTAGGCTATGGAACCAATCTAGGTGTTCCTCAATAGATGAATGGATAAAGAAAATGTGGTATATATACTTAATGGAATATTACTTAGCTGTAAAGAAGAGTGAAATTATGGTATTTACCAGTAAATGGTTGGAGTTGGAAAATATCATGCTAAGCGAAATAAGCCAGTCCCACAAAACCAAAGGCCAAATGTTTTCTCTAATATGCGGATGCTAATTTACAATAATGTGGGGGACACTAGAGAAGAATAGCATTACCTTAGATTAGATGGAGGGAAATGAGGGGAGGGAAGGGAATGTGGGGGTAGGAATGATAGTAGAATGAAGCATTATGTTATTTACTTTATGTGTATATGTGACTTCATGACCAATATGATTCTACAACATGTACACTCAGAAAAGTGAGAAATTATATCCCATCTATGTACGATACGTCAAAGTACATAAATGCCTTCTACTGTCATGTATAACTGACTAAAACAAATTTTTAAAAAATTGAAAAGAAAATCGTATTTTTAAAAAGACCTAATCAGGGCTGGGGATGTAGCTCAGAGGTAGAGAATTTACCTAGCATAGACAAAGCCCTGTATTTAATTCTCCATACTGCAAAAAAAAAAAAAAGCTTAATGTATGTCAAACATTCAGCAGTCTGTCAGACCAGACCTGTTGTATTGTGTCTTAATTCTGTACTCCTTTAGGAAATTCATCCTCCTTTTGCCTTCTTCCTGCCAACCTCCTTACTGTCGTTAACTCACAACTATGAGGAGCAGGAATGGAAAAGGCTCCATGAGTTCGTCTTTATCATTGTAATTTTATAGTAACATACACATGTTTCTCACACCACCCACAGTGCACCACTTTCTTACAGGGCTGTGGTCTCCTTAAACACTCCTCATGCCCAGTGACATTAGTGAGTGTTCCCAAGTGCATTTGAGAGAGCAGATGGATGTGAATGAGCAAGTAAAACCAACGGGGAGCGTCCTTTGGCCTGTGGTCTGTAGAAGAAAGCGGTTGTCAGGAAAGCACGTCAGTGTGTAGTCCACAGCTGTTTACTTTCTTTTCATTCAGGTATCCTGAAGAACTTGCCTGGCACACAAATTTAAGTCGGAAAATCTTGAGAAAATCTCCACAGTTGGAAAGGTTTCATCAGTTCCTGGTTAGCGAAACCGAATCTGTAAGTAGGTCTCTCTGGATTGTTGGTTTCCTTAAAGCATTCAGTGCAGAAATATATCATGGTCAGATTTGTATTGTGCTTGTCACTGGGAGCCGTGGGTAGATAGTGTGCACTGTAAGGACACCCATAAGTGTGTGCCCAGCTTTGGTTTCTGACCTTTCCCCTAACGTGGATTTTGTTGATTATGAAATTTAGTAAGGATGTGAGTCAAAGGTGTCATTTTGATCTATTGCCTCCTCTTGTGGATTTGTACAACTTGGACAAAGGTAGTATCACGTATGAGACCACTGCTTAATCCACTCCCAGCACCTTCTACTTTCCTGTTGTAGACGTAAAATAATAGGTTTTGGGGGCCATATTAGTAGAGTATAGGGTTTATTTTATTTTTTGTACCAGGAATTGAATCCAGGGATGCGTAAACACTCAGCCACATCCCCAGCCCTTTTTATGTTTTTAATTTTGAAACAGGGTCTTGCGAAGTTGCTGAGGCTGGCTTTGAACTAGTGATCCTTTTGCCTCAGCCTCTCAAATTCCTGGGATTACACGTGTGTACCATCACATCTGACAAATGTGTGACAAAAGGATTTTTTTTAAAAAAAAACCTGTTTTTTGTTAAAAAGTAAGACTTGATCTCAGTGTTAATCATCTCTATTGTCTCTTCCCACACAGAGCTCCTATACCTTTGCCAGAAAGTATAAACACCTGGGTATATCTTTGGTTCTCAAGAGATGTTCTTCTCAGTTTTTTTGCTGCTGCACATTTCCTTCAACTCAGTTCACTTAATGACTGATTTTCTTAAGAATCAACTTCCCCCAATAGAATAGTTTTCCCTCATGCAGTAGTTAAATGAGTACCCGTATAGTTGGCATAAACTTTGCTATTTCCTTTTTATTGGTTTGAAATTTCTTAGTTTCACATGTAAAGTCAGGGCCCAGGTTTCCTCTTTTCCAGTCTACTTCTTTTTGACCAGGTCAGCGTGCGTGCATCACCAGGTTATGTTTCTTTCTTTTTCACTATGAGCTTATGGAAATATTGTGCTTTCCAAGTCTCTTCCCTGAAGCCTTAAACAATTGGGATGCCAGTCACCTCGTTCAGTTCTTACTTCTACTTGATTCTTAGCCATTTTCTACTAATGTGACCTTTCTGTACACTGTTAAACTGGACTTACGTTTGCCTGGCTTTTCCTCCCGGGTATTCCTTCCTGAATATTAACGAAGACTAAGTGCTGCTACATACACCTTCATCAGCTTTTTTTTTTTTTTTTTAAGAGAGAGAGAGAATTTTTTAAATATTTATTTTTTTTAGTTTTTGGCTGGCACAACATCTTTGTTTGTATGTGGTGCTGAGGATCGAACCCGGGCCGCACGCATGCCAGGCGAGCGCACTACCGCTTGAGCCACATCCCCAGCCCCCTTCATCAGCTTTTAATCTAGAGGGTAAATCCAGTAAGGATTAGCAAAACTGTTATGAAACAGTTGTACACTGTTCAGGTGTGCACTGAACAGGTGAATAGAGCAGAAGCTTTGTCGGGATCACTGTGTTACATGGGGTAAGTTCTGAACTGCCAGGTTTTGGCAGCTCTGGGAGGTGGAGGAGATGGGAAGTCAGCGTGGCAACTGGTAAGGATCCTGTTGAGTGTTCTGATCAGGAGCCAGTGTGATGAGAGCTCTCAAAATAAACATTGGTACCCTCTAGGATACTCAGAGCTGGCTGCAGAACCTCTTCAGGGTGTTTGTGATTCAGGTGACTAAGTGCTGGATGTCTGTAGTCAAGGGCCTGATGTCCCCATTCTACTTAATGCTTTATTTGAAAACTTGGATAGAAACAGAAGGCAGACTTATCAGAACTCCAGAGTAACCCAAAAGCTTGGCATCAGTGTGTCAGTGAGTAAATCAAGATTCAGAGAGTCTCCACAGACTCACTGCTGGTCATAAACCAGGAGGTGAAAGCTGCGGGTACAAGCTAAGAGTAGGCTCTGACTGATGGATTCCTGGGTGGAAGGTGAGTGGTGGCTGCTGGCCTGCAGTCCAGGCACAGAGGCAGGAGTCGTGTGCAGCAGGCGCCACCTGCAGCTGGCAGAGCTTCCAGGCTGTTCGTCTGTGGTGGAGGCAGTGCTGACCTACAAGCAGCAGGACTGTATCTGAACATCATCCACCTGTCACATGCCCCCTTGAGAAGGTGTGAGGACTGCAGTTAGTGAGGAGTTTTGGATATCAGTTGTCCAAAGAATGAAGAGGAGAGCAGTGACTTTGAAAGGCAGTTGTGAGGAATAGAAAATTGACATGGATGGTTACTGAAAATAGCAGGATCAAAAAATAGAGGTTAGACTTTAGTCAAGAAGGAAGACTTACCTGACAGAATGTTCTGTCCTGTGCAAAGTCGGTGCTTGCAGTATTGCATAGCAGGTCCACCTTTGAGAGCTGCTCAGCCAACCCCCTTGTGCTTTCTGAAGAAGAGGAGTTGGGCTGTAATAAAATTTAGTATTACACCTGAATTTCTAATATTCATTCTTAATTAGCCATCAGTAGCAACTTATCTACAAGTATAAAAATCTGTTCTCATTTAATATCCTGTGTAATGGTGTAATTTCTTTTCTGTGTAAAATTGCATGATCTTTTCCTGTTGCATTTGATACAATGCCCAGTGTTGAAACTCTTGCCATTTTTATCATGGTTGCTGATTTTTCTCCCTCAAGGGAAACATCAGCCGACAGGAAGCCGTCAGCATGATCCCACCGCTGCTGCTTAATGTTCAGCCACATCATAAGGTATGTACCTGAACAGATGGGGCCAGTAGCTCATCGCGTTGTCATGCCTGTTTGTTTTGTTGAAAATATGTAATCTTATTTTTTCTTCCACTTTGGATAGAGAATGGCATGTATTTTAGGTTTTTTATACTTTTAAGTCCTATTTAATTTGCACAAGTCAGATAACTGTTTTCCCCCTTTTAAAAATTTAGTAAGTACTGTAAGACTGAGGAATGCTTGAGAAGTAGAAGCTAGTATCAGAGTAGCACTAGTACCCCTTTATTTACTATACAGATTATCTTCAGTGATCTTGATTAGTCAAGTCACATTGAAAATCACAGTGAGCTCATATGCCAAACATTGTCCAGAACTCTTGGTATAAATTAATTCCTTTTATCACCCACACAATCCTGTGAAGGAAGATGCCGTCACTATCTGTTTTCCCAGATGAAGCAAAGAAAGGAGGAAGAAACCAAGTAGTCTGGCCCAGGGTTACAGAGACAAGTGATTGGGCTGAGGTTTGAGTCTAGGGTGTTCTCTACTGTAGCATTGTGCTCTAGTGATTCTTGCTGTTCATCTTTAATTAATTGCTTTCGTTGGTTTCTGGTGCCATTCTGTTCCTGTCTGGAATTGGTGGGGGGATGGTAGTCAGGCATTAGCTATTATGGGATTTCTATAAGTAACATAGGATATGCTGTAGATTCATTCCATTAAAAAAGTGTATTCTTGAATTACAAATCAAAATACTAGAATAACGAAATTTGTTTTAAATTTAATGTAAAATATTTGATTGTTTTGAAATCAACCATAATTTTCTTGCTTTTCAACAGATCTTAGATATGTGTGCAGCACCTGGATCAAAGACCACGCAGTTGATTGAAATGCTGCATGCTGACATGAGTGTTCCCTTTCCAGGTACTCCCTGGGCTTGTTTAGAAGGGGTAGGAGCTATCTTGGTTCATAGCTGAGGAAGAGACCTAGCATTGCCTGCTTGCTGGGCCTTGAAATCTTTCGGACACACAGATGAGTTTTCTATTAAGCGAAGGTGGAGCTGAGCATTTTTGAACAGTGTCCTCAAGAGTTCGCAATCCCACACATTCATGATTTGGAGGGTCCTTTTTTTTTGGATTGTATGAGTTTTCTTTAAGAGCAATAGTGTCTTTGGTTAGGCCTATGTCGTTTGAAATTTCAGTGGTACCATTCCCCCGTTGTCTGTTGACTCACGTCATGTGGGTGGCTGTGAGGTGTGGTCAGAGCTGCTGCCAGGCTCTCTAGGTACAGATACTCCACTTTTTATTGGCAAGTTGTGTGGCAGTTTTAGACATCACATTTGAAACTGAATGTCAGGGCTCACCTTGCAGGAGTACTGTAAGACTGAGGAATGCTCGAGAAGTGGAAGCTGGTATCAGAGTAGCGCTAGTACCCCTTTACCAGGGTTCTTTAAAGAAGCACAAGACAGAATACTTTCCATAGAGCTTGTTAAGCCACCTTAGTCTCTGGCTCCGTCCTTTTGAGACAACTGCTCCAGTTTGGTTTACTGCATATATATGGTGTTTTCTTAAGCCTTCTTATATTGTTCAGAGGTTTTTTGTTAAGAAGTCTTATTTACTTCACTGATTTTGTTTTCTCCAAATCAGTCATAAAGAGCCTTGGTTGTACCGGTAGGAGCAGTTTCTCCTCTTTGTATTATTGATGTTTTGCATTTCATATTTTAAACAATGATCCTGATGATAAATGTTATTGAGCATATTTGTCCTTTTGCTGGAGGCATGAGAGGAATCAGATATGAGCGGAGGCAGCTTGCAATAAACTTCCAGGCAGTGTTTCTTAGCTTGGTTGACCAGTTGGGTGCCTCAGGACAGTTTATGCATTCAAATGTTAATACCCTACTCCAGGAGCCCATTCGTCCATCTATCAAAGCCCTGTGCAATATTTTAACCCCTGATGGGTGGTTCCTTTACTTCTCTCCTCATCTTCCTTTGTAATTAATAGTTGCTTATCACAGAAAAGACATTGTTGGCATAGTAATTGGTACAAAGAGAATAATTTTTGAACAAATTAATCTTGAGAGTTTGAAATTTCATGGGTCCATAAAATCCATGCAGAACCACTTGGCTTCTTTTTTCGGACCCCTTAAATGCTGTTAGAAAGTCTTGACCTCAGGTCTTAGGTTGACACATCGCTGCCTCTCGCTTGCCAACAGTGTGTTTCGGTGAATAATTCAACTTCTGCTGTATCTCACCTGACAACTGCAATTTTATGTTCGCAGAGGGATTTGTGATTGCTAATGATGTGGACAACAAACGCTGCTATCTGCTTGTTCATCAAGCCAAAAGGTTGAGCAGTCCCTGCATCATGGTGGTCAACCATGACGCATCCAGCATACCTAGACTCACCATAGATGTGGATGGAAGGAAAGAGGTTCTCTTCTATGACCGGGTTCTGTGTGATGTCCCTTGTAGGTAGGTATGTTATTAAGAGGGCAGAAAGCCCATATTTAAAAGTCCAAACAAATCCCGAATACTTCTGGTTCTAAGCTTTTCATTTAAGGGTTATCCAACCTGTATTTCTCCCAGATGGAAGCAAGGGAATTGCTCTAGGAGTTGAATGAGGTTTCTTGTTCTAGTCTGTTACTTCCTTTTTGGATTAAAAATTGAAGTATAATGCTTTTAGAGTGTCCCTAAAACAGACATGGAAAGTTGGTTGTGCTGATAAGAACGGAGATTGTTTTCTAATTGGTTTTCGTAGTAATGCCTGTTGTGTTAACCATCTTGAGTATACATGCCATTACACTTCAGTCATTGATTAATCTGTGCAGTATCAAGCTCTTAAATATCTTCTTTCCAGCGGAGATGGCACTATGAGGAAAAACATTGATGTTTGGAAGAAGTGGACCACCTTAAACAGCTTGCAGCTGCATGGGTTAGTAAGCTGGTACCTAGTTGCCCTCAGTGACATGTGAAATGATGTGGCTGAGCACCCAGGACTTGAGTACAGAGTTCAGCTTTGGCAAGTGAGATTTGATGCTGCCTCTTGAGAGTTTGCTTATGTGTCAGAAGTTGGGCTTATTTAAAACTTTTCAAGGTTAGCTGAAAGTTGTGTGTATTTCAGATACACGTGTATTAAAGAACATTTTTATAACATTTTTCCAGAACATTTCAAACATGCGTTTTTCCTTGAATGACATTTTCCATCTTCATGGTCTTCCCATCTTTTTTCTCTGTTTTGTTTTTTCATGTTGAATTATTAGTTTGCTTAATGTTGTGACATTTTAGAAATAGAAAAATACTTAACTTGGAAAAAATCTTAAGTAAAAAGTTAATTTCAAACTGAAATGATAACTCGGTGTTCTACATAGGGATTTTTAAATACCTGTTTTAAACAGCTTAGATTGTACTTTTAACATGAAAAATCACACATTTTTAAACAGAACTGTGGATGATCTAATGAAAATTCACCACAAATGACTTTAATAGGTAGTTTTGTTTCTCTACCAAATACTTATTGGCATTTTGTGTGTGTGTGAAATGGAAGCAAGTATTTGGATAAGAGTCAATGAAAGGACAGTTTCTACATTGAAAAAGCACATATTTCTTCAAATGTGGAGGCTTTTTAATAGTGAAATTCACCTGTTATTTTCAATTCCAGTATTAGCTTTGTCTTTGCTTACTGACATGGTAGGAAAGGTTAATAAAATAGAAAAAACATAAATAGGTGCCCCCCCTTTTTTTTTTGACCAACAAAAACAGCACATGTAAGTTTATACTGATAAACTTAAAAAGTTCTTTATTTGGAGGGGAGGATTGTTTGCTTTTTGGTTTCTTTTCTTTTTTTTTAATTTTTTTTGTGATGCTGCAGATGGAACCCAGGGCCTCATGCATGCTAGGCAAGTGCTGTACACTTGAGCTTCACCCCCAGCCCCTTTTTAAAATTATAACTATGTCGTAAAAATCTATAACTGACATAATAAATGTGTGCTTACAATATCTGTGCCCTGTGGGTATATTCAGTCTTATGGTGACCTGATGTCAACCTTTAGCTTACAGCTACGGATTGCCACCCGAGGAGCTGAGCAGCTGGCAGAGGGTGGGAGGATGGTGTACTCAACATGCTCGCTGAACCCCATCGAGGATGAAGCAGTCATAGCCTCTCTGTTGGAGAAAAGTGAAGGTACGTAATTGAGGTTTTTTTGCTATGGTTTATGTTCTGTAGATCTCTTCCTGGGAATTTGTTTATATCTGTAACCTATAACCATGACTCCTAAAGTGACGTGTTTCAGTTAAAACACTTCCTTAATGAATTTGTCATATGTTGTGAAATATGGGACTTCAAAACAAGCAGCTTTTCTCATTTTTGTGTAAATTGGAAAATTGTTAGATCCTAACCAAACTGATTTATTTTTAAAAAAATTTTATTGTGGTGACATACACAGAACATAAAGTTTGTCATATTCACCATTTGTAAGTGCACGTTATTGTGCGGCCATATCCACCATTATCTCTAGAATTCTTCATCTTGCAAAGCCAACTCTGGGCCCGTTAGCATGGCCCCTCTCTCACCCTAGCAGCCACCATTCTGATTTCTGTCTGTGGCAGTTTTTCTGCTCTGGCTACCTCATAGAAATAGAGTCATATGTTTGTCTTTCTGTAGCTGACTTCTGTACCTAACAGAGCACCCAGTGCTCATCTGTGTTGTAGTCAGAACTTCATTCCTTTTTAAAGCCAAGTAGTAATTTGTATACAGACCATATTTTGTTTACCTGTTTGTCTGCAGGTGGATACTTGGATTTCTTCCACCTTTTGGATGTTGTGAACATGGTATATAAATACCTCTTAGAGACCCTGGCTTCAGTTCTTTTAGGTCTGCAGCTGGATGGTGATATTTTTCCTGAGGACCCCTCCATATTATTTTCTATAGAATGACATCATTTTGCATTCACTTTCCCCATCATATTTTCTTAATACCAAATAGTAAGAAGATTCCAACTTGTCATGTTTTCAGAATAGAAAGCTAACAGTTTCCTACACTCCCAGGTATGAAGCAAGTGGAACTATAAGTGACAAAGCGTTTGTTTCTAAGGCAGCGTCCACTACTTGGCTTTCATTTGGTTGGGTTCATCTCATCTGTGGCTGGTCTGGTTGTGCACTTTAGACTAGGATTTAATATGGCGTGTTTATTTTGTTTTTTTTATATATTGTCCTTGGAAAAAGATTTCCGAACCATGATTTTTGCATGGTCACACCATGTTTGGGGTAGTACTTTGCTTCAGAAGGTATGTGAAAAGGATTGGGGGGAATATAATTAGTAGTTTCACTATTATAGAATCAGACTTCTAAGCATTTTAGGTCAAGTGTCAGAAGTCTTAACCTGCTTGGATTTACACCTGCTTTAGCCAGGACTCTTGGAAAAATGAGAGTCTAGGTTGTTTGATAACACAAACTCTCACATGTCCCTTGCCGTGGTCTGTTCCCAGATCTCTGAGAAAGAAAAGGATGGACTGTGCTTTCCCTGGTGGCGTGCTTAGCTGCTGTTTGCCCCTTAAACCTGAGGGGTAGTTTCTTTGTGCGAGGGTTCTCAAATGCTTCTTTTGCTGGTGCCTTCGTGTAAAAATGACTTTCTCTGGTTTCTTTGTGAACGTTTTCTCAACTTGGAATGGGTGGTCGTGTCCCCATCCTGTGCTTCTTGATGTAAAATTTTTTGTAGATTCTTACTATTTGGTGTTTTCTGCAAAGTCTCTTGTTGCCTGAGTACTTCGGGTCATTACGGTTATTCCTTTTTCTGCTTTAAGCTCATGGCTAAGACCAACAGCCAGGACCCCTGATTACAGGAGAAGAAAGCTCTTGCAGCAGCGAGTCTGCTTCACTCCCAGTGGTGACATTCATGCAGTACTTGTTGTTGCACTCCTGTCCGCATGTCTTATAAGATCGTCCCCTCTCAGGACCAACCTGCCTGCTCCATAGCTGCTGTTTTAGAGGGGCAGGTTCTCACCTGAGCACCACATGCTCTGACATCATCCATTTCCAATGCGCCAGCCTTTGCAGGAGCAGCCCAGGTGAGAGAGTGTTCTCTGAAAGTAGAGTTTCAGTTTTGGCTCTTCCCACAGGTCTCTCTGTGGCACAGCTTCATTCTTCTGCAAACCCAGGGGTGTGTGCCTTCATCCACATTTAAGAATCATTAGCTCTCCAGGGTCCTGGGGCAGATATTGTGGTGGGGCAGGGATGCCTCCTTGGAGGACTTTTCAGAGAGCAGTCAGTGCTGTTGGCCCAGTTCATTTTATGTTTGGAGAGTTTCTTAAGGGGTGGGGCAGATATGTGTTTGTGTGTGAATTTTTAGAGTAATTGATTGATTTTTGCAATATTTTCTTCTAATCTTTACTGTGTTGAAGAGTTTGGATTATGTATATTAAATTTTATACTGTGATTTTTTTTACTTACCTGATATGTAGTCCGAGTTTTTCTTGTTAGCAAAGGTCTGAACAGATTTGTTGCAGCTTGCTGTTGGTCACTTGAGTGTCCTGTTCTATAGGTGTTTCTTATTGGGAAGATGAGTTTCCCACATGCACCTGTCTGATGGTAATTGTTGCGTGTGGTTGTTTTCAGTCCACACTCGGGTGCTTTGCCTTAATCCTCTGCCAGAGGCGCTGCACAGAGATAGGGCTTCCTCTGAGAGCAGAGCTTCAATCTTAGTGGTCACTGGTGTCCTGACTGGAGGTGTCTGTTCCCCAGCCGACAGTGCTCAAAGCTTTTGCTGGAAGAAGGCAGCCAGTACTATGTAGACTACAAATAGTGGGTCAGTGTTGGCAGCTCCTAACCTTCTTGCTGGCTGGAGGTCACCCTGAGGTCCATCACGGGGCCTCAGGACAGGGTTCAGTTCAGGAAAGCGGTTTTTTAGTGCCTGTGTGATTATTGAGTGTTTTAAACTTTAACAGAAGAATGTTCAGAAATGACGAAGGTCAGTAAGGTACTTACATAACATTTCTCATTGACACACGTCCACCTTGGGAATTCTTTTACTTTATTGGGTTTTTCTCTTCTGTGAAGCTGGAAAATCTACACTGGTGATCTGTGCCTACTAACTGGTTTAAATCGTTTCCCAAAAGGGCCCACATTACAGATTCTTGTAATGTCACTATTATAAACACTTAATGCCAGAGTGTGTGTTCACAGTTGTCCCTTTATTTTTAACATTGGGGTGACTGTGTCCTGACTGGCAATTTTAGAAAATTTATTTTGATCTAAAACTGTTTAAAAATTTTTCCACAGTTCATTTTTAAGAGTTTCTCTTTGGCTCTGGGGTGTGTTTTAGATATAACAGCATGAAGACCCCAGTCATCTGACTGGTGTGTAGCTATAAGAAGAGGGAATTATGAATTTTAGCTGCTTTGGGTACTGGTTGCTGCTCAGAGGGGTTAGCCTTGCTTTCATATACACAACTTTGTTGAGCTGTATGCATCTGTTTTAAGTGTTCAGTTAAATGATTTTCAGCAAGCTTACCAAGTTGAGTACTCCTCACCAGTTTTAGATCATCTTTGCTATCACAAAAGGTTCCTTATGCTCATTAACATGCATTCCCTGCTCCACCTCAGCCCATAGCTGCTGCTAATCTACTTTGTCAGTGAATTTTCTTTTCCTGGACATTACCTATAAATGGAGTCATAATGGCATATGATCTTTTGTGTCTGGCTTCTGTCACTGGGCATAATGTGCCTTGCATTTTTGGAAACTTTTTTCTTTCTGTGAAGGTGCTCTTGAACTCGCTGATGTGTCTGCTGAATTGCCAGGGCTGAAGTGGATGCCAGGCGTTACACAGTGGAAGGTAATCCTGCTACAAGGACCATGTTTGGGTAATGTGAAGAATCCTACATCTTGTTATGTGGTTTGGTATCAGTTAATCACTTAATGACAAATGGTATTATCTGTGTTTCTTTCTCTGGCAGTGGAAAAGTTTTCTTGCCTTTATTTATTGTACAGAAACCTTTGTCATCATCTCCATAAGTACAGCTTTGCTTTTATTTGATGGTCTGGAATTCAGGCTTTGTTTTCAATGTGAAATAATTTCACTTTACAGTCTTAGGTCAGAAACAGTCAGGCTTGTTTTAAAAATAAAAAGAAACCTATGTGGAAAATGGTTCTTTTGTGGTGGTGGTTTTGTTTCTGACTTTGCAAACGTCCAGTCTTTGGACAGACTGAGTTGCTCTTGGCGGGGTGAGGTGGGGGGGCATTTCCCTGCACCTGTGGTTTTCTTAGCATTGGTTGTGCTTTTAGTCTAGAAAGCTGCCCTCTCTTGCAGGTTATGACCAGGGATGGGCAGTGGTTTGCGGATTGGGCCGATGTTCCCCATAGCAGGCATACCCAGATTCGACCTACCATGTTCCCACCAAAGGAACCGGAGAAGTTAGAGGCGATGCACTTGGAGCGGTGGTAGGTGTGTGGGCTCCAGGTCTTGGAGAAGAGGGGGTGTGCTCTCCTGGAGAGCCGTGAGGTTGGCAGGAGGGTTGGAGGCAAGCCGGTGATATTGCTGTGAGGCCTGGCTAAGTGTGGCCATCCTCACATAGGAACTTTCCAGCTAGCGAGGTGTTCCTAGTGTCTCTTGGCTGTGGTATGGAGCATTTATAAATAGTGGCATTGATTGAGCTGCAGTGTTAAGTTTTCCCTTGGAAACTTCCTGTGCTCTTAAAGATTGCATTTTGGCCATTACGAGGATGAGCTGTGAGTGTTTGCAGTTAAGACATGAATTTTCTGTTATATCATCTTTATTTTAATACTAAAGAGAACAAATTTTGAATCAATCATAAAACTCGAATTTTCTATGTTTTTTAGCCTTAGAATATTACCACATCATCAAAATACTGGAGGGTTCTTTGTGGCAGTATTAGTGAAAAAATCTTCCATGCCATGGAATAAACGTCAACCAAAGGTAAGGGCTTTTTTCCAAAAAGCATGATAGGACATTTGATCTTTTTGTACATTTAGGACAAAAAGTAATAGGAGTCCAGTGCCAGAAGTGTAGAGGCAAAGGGGAGGTTAGGGGGAGGCAGGGGCATTGGAGTTAAGAGGGTCTGAACCTGCACAGGAGAATTCATTTCAATTTTGAGTTTTCCAAAAAGCAGATGTTTCTCCCTGGAGATAGATAGTGGAAAAGGCTATTTGGGGGGAACACATTGCTTCTACATCCTAAATGGAGGTATTTAATAACAGTTGAAAAGACAAAACATGAAGGCTGCCTTATGGTCCCAAACCTGAAGCCTCTGGGTTCTGCTCTAGCACCCCAGCCCACTGCCTGTTTGTGGCACTTGTTTCACCACAAGGCGTCTCACTGACTGTGAGGAGTTGTGGAGGCTTCATCCCGCCCTGGAGACACAGCCTCGCCTGTTTGTAAGAATCCTCATTGCCTTCTGGTACCCTTAACAAGGAGGCTGGGAGGCAGGTGGGGTTAGAAGGCGACCCCCCTCATCTCCACCCGTGGTGCCATTTGACATGTGCTGTTCCTATCTTTGTTTTACAAGTTATCTCATAAGTCAGCTTTCCATGTATAGAATATGGCCTTGGAATCAGGGTAAAAATGAGTGTTTCTTTAAGACCCATGCTTGAAAATTAGGACAGACAATGCTTAGCCTTTGGAGAAACAGGAAGTTTTTTCTCTAGGGGCCCCCATATTCCTGGGCACATGTTCCAGGGCACCTTTTATGATTCAGCCTCGTCTGGGATCTTAATGCTGGGGTGTCCCAGCTCCCATTTCCAAGGTAGAGCCCCTGCATGCTTAGAGCTGTGCTTCTAATAGAAATGCACCAGCCACATGTGTAATCTATTTTCTAATAGCCACATTTTAAAAAGTCAAAGTTAATTTTACTAATGTATTTTATTTGTCCCAGTATATTTAAAATGTTAATTTTGAGTAACCAGTATAGGAAATTATTATTGAGAAAACTTTTCATTCTTCCATACTATGTTTTAACAATAACACATAATTTGTTATTTGCTTGTTTGTTGATAGGATTAAACCCAGGACTCATGCTAAGCACATGCTCTACCACTGAGTTACATGCCAGCCCTGGTAGCATGTTTTAGTTGTAACGATTCATGTGACTTGCACTAGTATATTTTACGTGGTCAGTATATTCTCAACTGGCTAGTGGCTTTCAAACTTCCCAGCTGAGGCTCGAAGCCTGCTCAAGTTCATGGTTTAGATTTACTTGCATTAAGGGCTGCCTTCATGTCTTTGTCACATACTTGGGTTTTGACTTTGACTTTATTTAGCCTGACATGATTACTGTCTTGCTTTTTAAAACATTTACTGGCTCAGGTAAATGTTAACACTACTTTTCCATTTCTGCCATTTCATCTGTTCCTTACTCAATTCAACAGTAGTTTTGCTGGCAAGCATAGTGTGTGCTGTCTGGTGATGAGGTGGGGTCTTAGAATCTATTTGGAGTCACCTCCTGGAATTCATACCAGCTATCTGTATTTCTAAGGCAGTGAAAGGTTGTGGAACAGAGGAAGCACTGTGGAGAACAGGCCATCTGAGATGGGCCAAGAGACAGAAGGCACTTTTCAAGATTTGACAGACAGCTCTGTCCAGGGCACGGGGTTGGTTTCATGCTTTTCATGCTGAAATGGAAGGTGCTCTGAGAGGCAGTGCCAAGCTGTTTTAAAAGCTTGGACTCAGGCCTGAGTCGAGTGTTGGCTCCTCTGCTTAATAGCTTTGTGACCCTGGGGAAATAAAACTCGTCTGCCTAAAAGTATCCTAATTTGTAAACTTACTTCACAAGCATCAAAAGGATACATATTTTTTAAATTTTTTTTTTTTTTTCCCTGAGTGCTGAGGATTGAACCAGGGCCTTGTGCCTGCTAGGCAAGTGCTCTCCCATTGAGCTATGCCCAAGCCCTAGAAGAGTTTAGTATAAGTGAAACGTTTTGTTGATACCCAACCAAATTTAAATTATACTATTGCCCTAAATCGGCAATGTGCTTCTTGTCAGGTGTCTCTTGGACTCTAAGGTGTGTGCTCTACCTAATTCCAGATGCCCTGGAAGCTCTTCACCTCTCTCTCTCTCTCTTGCTTCCCTTCTTTATGTGCTTATCTTTTTGCGCCTGCCTAGTAGTTCAGGAATTGTGTTTGACTCATCCTGTACTTCACTGTGCCTTGCATGAGCTGATGCATAGGAAGCATTTATAATTGAGAAGGAACTGGTACTTCGGGCCTGGCGGGCCCTACCGAGGATCAGGAAGTGTGTGCTCCTTAGGAGACCAGCTTAAACCCTGAGGGCATATTGCCTCTGAATTCCATTTATAACAGCAGACAGGTCAAAAGCTCTACTTTAGAAAAACTTTTTTTTTTAACAGTGCTATGGAAAATTATAGCAGATTGATTTTGTGAACTTGACAACTTTTATTTTCTTGAAGCAGTGAGAAGTTTACATATCTTTATATAAAAACACATTTATTCCCTACAACAGGTACAGGGCAAATATCTAGAGACCAGAGAAGCCACACAGTTGAGCACTGCAACTCCCACAGAGGGGAAACCTGTGGATGCCTTAGAGCCAGAAAGTCAGCTGGTCACTGGAACTGGTGACTCAGAGATAACAACACCCGAGAATTTAGAGAATAATGAAAATAAGAAAGATGGCGTGTGTGGGTGAGTTATTCTTTGATCCTGATCATCTGGTGCCTTTACAGTCTTCTAAGGAGTTGTTGGGCCCAGGGCCTTTCCTGTGGGGACTTTGTACAGGTGGGGTGTAAGAACATTGCACACAGAGGCCTTAGTTTAGTGGGCATGCACCATGATTGCTGGGATCCATTGGGCAGCTAGAAGCCTTCTGCCTCTGCCTTCAGCCTTCAGCTAAGGAACCATGTGCTTTTGGTTACTGTGCGGGGTACCCATTCATTTATCTCATCCTTATTTTCTTCTTAGTCCTCCTCCGTCAAAGAAAATGAAGTTATTTGGATTTAAAGAGGATCCATTTGTGTTCATTCCTGAAGATGACCCATTGTTTCCACCTATTGAGTAAGGATTAATTCAGCCTGTTTAATTCTTCTTTTGCTCATGTGATACATGCACCCCTGCTCACGTGTGCACTCTGTACAGCAGCATTTACTAGATGGTCACTCCACTGCCTTTTAGAAAACTGGTCCTTTGCATATCTGTAAAAATCTCTTGAGAGGCTCCTATGTAGTGCAGGTGTCTCATGTCCCTGTCACTGGAGTAGCACTTGAAGGAGAGAAGCTACCCTTGTTAATTTAGGACCCTGACCTTGTGCCTCAAGTACTGCCCGGCAGTTCTAGGTGAAGGTAGATAAGTTTAGCAGAAGTCCGGAGCAGAGCTTGGATGCTCTTAACCCACACTGCAGTTGTGGAAGCTGAACGCTGTTGGGGAGAGTAAGATGTAACAATTTTATTTTGTTAAAGGAAATTTTATGCTTTGGATCCGTCATTCCCAAGAATGAATTTGCTAACTCGAACTACAGAAGGGAAGAAAAGGCAACTCTACATGGTCTCTAAGGAGCTGAGGAATGTGCTGCTGAACAACAGCGAGAGGATGAAGGTAAAACTGCGCAGGCTTGTGACTGTGATTCAGGGTGTGCAAGATCTTGGCACTTGGCCTGTGATTTCTGAGCTGGTGGCAGGCACAAGTCTGGATCCATCCCTACTGTATCCTCCTGGAGCTGGTCCTCTGGGTGGGAGGGTAAGGGCATGGAAGCTCTGGCTGTGCTCAGGCGGGCCCTTGTACTTTGTCCTGTTGTACATTTTCCTTATATTGGCCATTTGTAGACCTTTTGTCATTTACTTTCCTGCTTTTGAGTCTCACAGGTCACACATTTTTTATAGCAGTGTTAAGACCTGATCTGCCTTGTGCACGCTCCTCTCCAGGTGGTTCTGCTAGGTTGTCAAAGACTACATGCTGTGACAGTTCCTTGCTTTAATGGCCATCAGAATGCATGCTGACCTATTCTTGCGTTTCCAAAATATCCAGTTTTAATCTCTAATCATTTGTCATGAGCCAGTGACACAGGCCATTTGCAGCTGTTGGTGGGTTCTTGAAAACCCATTGTGGCGAGGCCCGTTCCCCTCCCTGGAGCTGCTCACATACAGCTCACCACCTCATAGTAGAAGGGAATGTTTTGATTATCCTGATTTTTGTTTGTGTGTTTCATGAATATATATATTTTTTTCTTACAGGTTATTAACACAGGGATAAAAGTCTGGTGTCGAAATAACAGTGGTGAAGAATTTGATTGTGCCTTCCGGTTGGCACAGGAGGTAATTCTAGGCAAAGCATTTGGGGATGAGGTTGGGCTCTGGCCAGGTAACAGGGTCTGAATGACTTGTGCTTACCACCTGTTGTTGGACCTTGGCGGTTGTCAAGCTCCTCTAGGGGACTTTGTACAGGTGGGCTTGGGCTTCCTCCTGTGGGGCACGCCACACACAGGTCTGTGAGCAGGTGATGATGTCATGGATTGCATCATGGTGATCTTTCTTCCCACAGGGAATATATACATTGTATCCATTTATTAATTCAAGAATTATTACGATATCAATGGAAGATGTGAAGACATTGTTGACTCAAGAAAATCCATTTTTTAGAAAACTCAGCAATGAGACATACAGTCAAGCCAAGGACCTGAGTAAGTGATTTGGATGACATAGAGGCACAACTTGGGTTGTCTCTATAAGAATGAAAAAAAAAATATATATATATATACAGGTGTTCCTTCTTTTTTGGCATATTTCTCAACCACATATTTCAGACTACGCCTCCATATCTGCCTTATATCCTCAGATTTATCCAGTTATGGATATACAAAACCTTTTCACTTGTCATATGTGAAGATCACGAGTTCAAAGCCAGCCTTAGAAACTTAGCAAGGCCCTAAGCAACTTAGCAAGACCCTGCCTCTAAGTAAAACATTAAAAAAAGACTGGGAATGTGACTCAGTGGTTAAATGCCTCTGGGTTCAATCCCTGGTATCAAAACAAAAGTTTTGACTTAGCAGTTAAGAGTTCTAGGTAATTTGGAGCTCGCTTAAAGGATGTAGGAGGATGTGTGTGGTTTCTGTGCAGACTATGAGCTATTTTGTATGGAGGCCTTAGTGTCCTGGCATTCTGGTCTCTGCTGGGGTCCTAGAACCCATCATCAGCATAGACTGGGGGGCTGTGCATCGCAGTACTCTCTACTGACTATGTCAGTCTCCGCAGGGCTCTGGAGAAATCTGGCATCTCCAAATGTTAAAGATCAAAGGCATCTTTAGGAGTGCTGTTCTGTTTACCTATCCCTGGTCAAGCCCCTGGTACAGCCCAGAACCCACAGGAGTCTGTGGGCATTGGGGGCTGGCCTCTTGAGCAAGCCCTCGGGGTAGCTTGCTGAGCGCAGGAGTCCTGGGCCATGCCACCAACCAGCACTCATCAGCAGGTAGCCAGGGGGACAGGCTCTGGTATTCGAGTTCACCTGTGTTGTAAGGCACATAGGACCAGCTAATGGGGTATCTAGTTCACCTGGTATCTTTGCCAACCTTGTTAAAGCAAAATACTGCCATCTGGCCAGCAGGCCATTGCTCTGCTAACCCACCAGGATAGGTTTTTGGTTACATTTTCCTTTTATATTTCATAAACTTCCACTTCAGGTCCTTCTTGGGGCATTTTCTCCAAGGCATAAAAATAATTTTGGCAAGGTCTTCTAATTCTGTTTTCCTTGGGCCTCTGTCCCCTTGTCCTTGCTGTGTTCTCAGCGCAGCTGTATATATTCAGAAGGGCTTCTCCACCCAGATTCCTTTTTTTAAAGATGATAAATATTTTGCTTTAATTAGTCATACATGATAGTAGAATGCATTTTGACATTATACTATATGGAGTATAACTTCTCATTCTTCTGGTTGGACATGAATTAGAATTACATTGGCCATGTAATTATACATGCACATAGGATCCCATTTAGATTCTTTTTTTTTTTTTTGATTGTTGATAGACCTTTATTTTTTATGTGGTGCTGAGAATCAAACCCAGTGCCTCACACATGCCAGGCAAGTGCGCTACCACTGAGCCCCAGCCCCATCCACTCCATCTAGATTCTTAGTCAAGAGAGGATTATTTGCTATTTCCTCAAAACAGCATAATGTAGAAGCACAATCAGTTGTGTCCACTGACTCAGGCACTTGGCAAACTTAGGTCTCTTTCTCTTCCAGCAAAAGGAAGTGTCGTGCTGAAGTATGAGCCGGATTCTGCGTAAGTCAGCGCACCCCATTGCCATTGGTTGTGCTGCGTTCTCTCGGGCGAGGGAAACCTTGAGGGGTGGTGGGAACCTCGGGGCCCTTGAAAGCCTTTTAAGAATGTTACACCGAAGGTAAGACTATGAAAACCTCAGAACTGAAATACTGTCTTTGTAGATTACCATGAGGATACTTCTTTGTAGGATAGTCGGCTGGGAGGCAGGTGTGATATGTTCATGTTTGTGGAGAACAAAATATGTAACACTTTCCAGGCATTAGGAATTGATTTGACTTCTGACTTATGTGGAAAACTGGAGTGTGAGGTCAGGTTGTTGGTTCAGCTGGGTGTGGTCCCCATCACACTCAGGCCTGGTTCCAAGGCTGGTTAAGACAGGCTGAGCCCTGCTGTTGCTCACTTCTAGGTTGTCCAGTGCTTGTACCTGCTCACCCTGGAGCCTCACAGGGATCCCTGGAGGCATAGGTCCTAGTATCGGCGGCAGCTGCCAGATGAGGAAACGGGGTGAAGAGTTAGGTGGCTTCTTCCTAAGTGGTAGCATCTCAGCCTCACCTCTAACACTGCTTCTTTGTAAAATAGAGGACCACTTCCAAGAGAAGGAATACGGTGGGGCCCAGGGCTGAGTTGATTTGGGGAGTGGCTGTGTAGGGCCATCGTGTAGTTTTCTGTGAGTTGGGCAAGGAGAAACCTTTAAAGCCCAGATGTGAGGCAGGAGCAGACTGGAGAGCTGTGTGGTTGGGGCTCAGCCACAAGGAGGGAGGGAGAGAGGATGGATATACAGCCAAGACCTTGAGCCCTTGCAGGATCTGAGGTGCCTTGTGTTCCCAGGTGTCAGACTGACTGCTGTCTGGTGTGTGCTCTGTGGGGAAAAGGAGGTCTTGATGTGGGAGTTAGGAGTAGAAGGGGAGACTGTAGAGTGGGTGAAAAACAGATGAGCTGGGTGGCAGAGGCAGGTGACTGGGGATTAGATGCCAGGAGTACTGCAGGTGGCCCTGCCGGATGTGAGGTGGGTAGAGTGTGGGCAGTGAAAGGGCAGGAGCACGTGGAGATCACAGCTGAGCATGTGTCGTCTCCAGGACTGGGAACAAGGGGTGCACTTAACACTCATTTTGAGGTGCTTGAATGGACATGGAAATGGACTTTAGGGCAGGCTCCTGGGTAGAGGTTTTAGAATCAAGGGGAAAGAAGGCCAGGTCTCATGAGCGTACAGCTCTCTTCCGAGTCCTGGCACTTGGTGAGATAACTTAGGCTTTAGAGGAGCTGGGTTTTTAGGAGAGTAGTCAGTGAAGATGGGAGTGCTCAGGGAGGCAGGAGCAAAGCCACAAGTGAGGACATGTAGGTGCCAGAGTCACATCGGGTGTCCCTGCAATTTGCCAAAGGTGGTCTGTGATAGCCTGGTGGCACTGGGTGGATGGGTGCTACGGACAGTTGGGGAAGGGGCAGAGGAGTGCAGCGCTGATGTGGGCAGCTAGTGGTCTGCTGTGTGTAATGGGAAGGGTTTTGTGGGCTTGGGAGAAGATGTAAAAAGGAGGACTGTTAGGTGTGCTCGTAGGCAAGCCGGGGAAACAGAGCACGGCCCACCAGCATATTTTGAATGAGGCAGTTTTCTTAAAGTTTGAATCAAGACCCAGAAATGTTTTTTTAAAAAAATAGCAGTGACATCTGGCTCTGATTGGAAAACATTGGGGTATTCTAAGATGCCGATACACTTTCCACACATAAATACTAGTTTCCACACAGGTAAATAACAGCTTCAGAAATTATTAGGTTTTGTTTGTTTGCTTGTTTTTGTGGTTAAGAAGATGGGGGGTTGGGAATTTTTTGCATTTTTCTTGATTTTTGTCAACTTACTGTCTGTGCTTTATACCAGGAAAAATGGGAAGGGGTTGATGTGGTTCTTACTCTTTTTAGTGGTTCCCCGCTTCCTGTTTGGGTCCTTCTCCTCACCTATTTGTTTTAAAAATTCAGTCAGCCCTCTGCATCCCCTCCTCAGCCTGTGTTTAAACATGGCCTTTGGGAGCCTACCCCGTGGATGCCTACAACCCTGGCTGGGGGGCAGTTGTCTGGGTCAAGGAGGGAGGGGGCAAGGTGCCCAGTGGCAAGAGTGGGGACTGCGAGGTGGGACTAGCAGGCCTGGGGAGGTGGTAACACAACAGAACTGTGCAGTGTGCCATGGGGCTCAGGTCATGATGTGCTCACCAGAGACCACGTCACGTGAAGCTTGGAGTGGGAAAGAACATGCACCATGGTCCCTGGCTGGGTTCTGCCACTCCTGAGTCACTCAGCCTGAGGCCCAAAGCTTGTTCACTGACTCCACCATGAGGTGGGCAGGAGGGCTCCAGGGGAGAGGCCTCTTCCTCACCACAGTGTGCTGCCCCTGGGGGAGTGTGTTCAAGGCGGGGGGGGGGGGGGGTAGATCTCCAGCACAGAGCTAGCATGCAGCCTGCAGAGGTGGGGCCATCCCATTGCCTGCTTAGGTGAGCTGCTTCAGGATGAGGAGGAGGAAGTGATCTCCAGATCCTTCTTCAAGAAGACCTGCCATAGTACCAGACACAATGTCCTTCCAGCACCTTGAGGGTGTAGTGTGCATGCTAATGTCTCTTTGGATGCAGTTATGAACACAGCTGATGTAACATGCAGCTGTCTTCTTCTGTAGGAATCCAGATGCCCTGCAGTGCCCCATTGTGCTGTGTGGCTGGCGGGGAAAGGCCTCCATTCGAACTTTCGTGCCCAAGAATGAACGACTCCATTACCTCAGGATGATGGGGCTGGAGGTGTCTGGAGAAAAGAAGAAAGAGGGGGTTGCTCTCACTGAAGACAGCACAGCCACCACTGAACTGCCGGAGGATGGGCTGGGTGAGGAGTTGAGAGCAGAGGAGGCAGGCCTTCCGGATGCCACCCCTGGCTGTGACCCCACAGCACCCGATCCACCCCGATGAGGACACCCCACAGCGCACGATCCACCACGATAAGCTAATAATGATGATGCGTATATCATCAAGGGCCGGTCTCCGTTGGCCCTTGGTGACAAACTAAATTAAGAATGTCTTCTGAGCTGTAAAGTATATATTTTTTAAAACTGAAAACTGATGGAAAGATCGATGGAGCAGTCTGGGAGGATTGGTACTGCTTCTGGGTGGAGCTCGTGAGAAAGTGTCTTTTAGCTCCCCTCCTAGTCGCTTGTCTGTCATGGTGACAGGCTTTCACCTTTAAGCCATCCTCCTCTCAAGAAAGTTGCCCCTGTAGAATGTCTGGTCCCTTTTCTTAGACCTATATTGGTCTTAAGGTCCAGTCTCTTAAGTTATTTATAGGAAGAATTTATAGCTCCTTATAAAGTCTTGGGGACGTCCCTTGGCTTCCTAGCAGTGTTGAGTTGCACATGGGCAGTGTGGAGAGGATGTGCAGTGGGGTTGTTATCTGGACCTCAGATGACTTCTGTGCCTTTGTAATAAAAGGTGAATATAACTTTTCAGAGTAAGTTCTCTGTTGTGAACTGGGATACTAATTACGGGGCCTTTACGTGCTTTTATTCAGTTTTTATTTCTAAATGGGGTTGGGGTCTTTTTTTATTTTAAATGAGGTTGGGAACCCTTGAGATGTTTAAATAAAGAGCTATTAATGATGATGCGTATATGCGGGTGACTCGATTTTTGCCCTTCTGAGGCAGAAAAACTTATTTTTGGCTAACGGAAATGTTGGACTCAAAACCCTCTTGTCTTACCCGGTGAAAGAAATGTTCAGATGCAGACTGTTGTGAAGTTGTCAGTGTCTTCTGAGCCACCTCGCCATGGCTTTGCTCCTCACTGTTCCAGCTCAGCAAGAAGCCGGGGTCATGTGGGTGAGGCCCCAGGAGGGCCTTGACGGGGAACCTGTCACTGATGCTGGGTGGACAGGAGCCTGTTTGAAATGGCTGCACTTGCTGATGGGTGCTGGGGGTGGGACACTGCTTATCAAGATTCAGCAGAAAGACTTGTCACCTGCCTAAGCAGTTGCCAACAGTCTTCCTTTATCAGCATCTGCCCCGTCTCACTTCAGTGTCCTCCTCCCATAGAGGAGGAGCCTTCTCCAGTAACCTCACACCAAGAGAGGACCACTCTTCGGTGCCGATAACTTGGCCGTTTGACCCCAGTCTCTTATGGAAGTTTACATCGGCCACACATCTCACTCGACTGATGCAACTTCTGAATATCTCCTTTGAAATACTTTCAAACCTAACAGTCAAGGACTCTGGTTTTTAAGATGCATCTGCTGGTGAGGTGGAAGGCCTGGGGCCACAGAGGTGTAGGGAGTCAGTGACTGTCCTCCTCTTGGGCCATGTTTCCCTTGGCTGCCGGGACATTTAGGGCAGCTAAAAAAAAAAAAAAAGATACTCTTAACACCTACAAAAGAGGAGGTTTTCTTCTCATTTGAGTTAACGTTTTGGTGAGGGTTTCTGGTTTCCACACAGGCTGGTGTTTGCTGGGGGTGTCACCAAAGGAACCTGGTGGGTGGGGACTGAGGGAGACACACTTTACTTACAGCCTCTTGTTCCCATTGAACTACAGATGATACTGAAAAGATGAATAAAAGAATGGCAAATATGCATAGCCCTAACCACTTCCCAGACCAGCAAATGTGCAAAATGATCTGTCAGCAAAGTCATTTGATATAGCATCTTTATAACAACAGAAAACCAGGAAGACCCCTGGTGTCCAGTCCGTCCTGGTCACTGCGTGGAGCACTGCAGCTGCCCAGTGTTCTAGAGTGGTGACTGCTGAGAAGGCAGGGTGCCGCCCCTTGTGTGGGGGAAGAAGCCTTGCACTCAGAAGCACATGATGTCCTTTCGAATTTGTGTCAAACAGCTGAAGGACACAGAAGCTGACAGTACTGGTTGGCCTCCCAGGAGGGGGTCTGCATGGGCCAAGACCAGGTGGAGGAAAGCTGAACCAAGGCTGTCTTCAGCCTGTTTGATAAATGAATAAGTGAATGATGAACGCGTGGTGCACACATGAGAGTCCAGAGGACAGAATTTGTAGTGGCGTCCGTGGCTTCTGGAACATATATTTCATTTTAGTAATGGAACTCTGGGCTGTCATCTGTTCTTGCTCACTTTGGGGAATGCCAAGTAGCTGGTGTGGGGAGGCATTGTGGCCTGTGTGCCTCAACAGTGGCCCCTCTGTGATCCCCAGCTCTGGGGCTCATGCCTTCGTGCCTTCCCACGTGTGGGCTGAACCTGTGACTTGGATGACAGCAGTAGTGGGTGCTTCTGTGAAGATGAGGTCACTCAAGACTGGTTCCCATCTTCTGACAGCACGCTCCTTCCTGTGTCTGGGTCTCTAAGACCACCCCTCCATGCTGCTGCTCCAGGGGGACATGGAGGACTCGGCCTAGGCATCCTTGAGCTGTGGCAAAAGGGAAAGATGGTGGTGTGCAGAGCAGACCCGGGGGTGGGGGCATCCTGGAGTCCTCCCAGGGAAGTTGTGACCACATGTGTGAAACCTCTTCTGGGGAGGCTCAGTAGAGTCCCTGCCAGGGATTCTGCTAGGATCATGGGCTGTTCTACATGGCACATCCAAAATTCCAGACACAGAGGAGAAAAGCAGGTGTTCGGCATAAGGTGCCTAAATGGCTTGTGGTGGGAGCACTCCTGAAATCCAGGTCCCCAGGTGACAGCAAGATGCCCTGTTTGAAAGGAACTCGGGTCCTCGGCCCAAGGACGCCCTTGGTGCTGAGTCCTGCTGGCTTCCCCTGTACAGCTGTTGGAAGCATATCCCGGCCTAGGTGAGCCGTGGGATGGTACACCCCCGAGGGACCTCAAAGCAGACCCTCAAGTCCTGCAGGCTGTCCTACCTATGTAGCCGTTCCGTTTCACGCCACTAAATCCTGAGGTCCTTCACCGAGACACCATAGCTAACAGATACTCCTACTGAGTGGCCCTGGGCAAGTTTCTAGGCCTCCATTTCCTCATCTATGAAGTAGGTGTAGTGCTAGTCCCCTGATGTGGCCTGGTTAGCAGACACAGGCAGCAGAGAGGCCAGCGCCCAGCAGCGAGTGTTCTGAAGTGGAAGCCGATTTGAGGGAGAGGATTTGCTGAGATGGTGCACTTTGATAATCACTGGCTTCTCTTTTGCTAGTGAACAAAACCTTTTGATTAGGAGAAATGTATCGAGCTTAAATTGTCATTTTTTTGCTCACATTCTGCCACTACGAAATTTTCAATACTGGCAGTGACTGAGGTAGTGATTGAATCAAAGCCCTTAGAATCTAATTTCTTTTTATCTGCTGGGGAGGGGATGTTTCGTGACACTTCCTGAGCTGCCAGTGGCAGAAAATCAGGAGCTGGACACAGCAGGGACTATGAAATTACATAACAGCCACTCTGCATTTCAAACACCGATCTCTACCACCTACATCTCCCATCCTTAAAGCTAAACCTCCATATTATCGATTTTTCTAAGCATAAAGAAAAACTAATAAAAACTAGAAACCATTGGTCCTCTGTTGAAACTACCATGATGCAAATTAATTCATGTTTCATTTTGGTTATTTATAAAATTGTTGATGTTAGGAGAAGGACCACTTTTAATAATAGAAACAAATACCTGTGGTTTTTTTTCTGGGTGGATTTTGGTTACAACAAAGCATATTCCAATAACAGATCTCTACATACCCAACCAGTTTTTTGTTTTTAATACTTTTTTTTTAGTTGTCAATGGACCTTATATTTGTTTATATGTGGTTCTGAGAATAAACCCAGTGCCTCACATGTGCTAGGCAAGTGCTCTGCCTCTGAGCTACAACCCCAGCCCCCAACCAGTTTTTAAATAGCAACAACTATAAAGCTATACAAAGCTCTCCAAGTGTGCTACCGAGGCCATACCAGAACCAATAGATGCATGTTCCTGTTCATGACTGGGCACCTCCCATGACCAGCATTGTACCATTTGCCTGTGTTGGAATTTGTTGGGCAAATCAATCTTTGGAGAAGTCAGACTCCTCAGAAACCAGACTCTGCTGGGAGTTTGCATAGAGGAAGTTTGGATCCAAACCTGGGACTTCGAATGTAACAGGTTTGGAGCAGATGGGTTCAGGGAGAGAGGCCGTCACAACTTGACAAAGCTCTAGTGGGTCACGTGGGGAGCTGGCGTGGCTTTGCAGAGTTGGGATCTGGGCCTTCATATCTCACCATCAAGCCAGTCCTGAGGTGGGAGCTGCCCTGAGAAAAGGAGACCCTTCTTCTTAGGGCAACTCCCCCAGAGTGACAACCACGGGCTCCTGAATACCTGCAGCTTGACGAGGACAGCTTTACGCTCCAACACCACCGCGTCCACTCACTTTTCAGCATGTCCCTTTGTAGTATGAGATGGTAATTAGAAATAGGAAGCATAATTTCCAAACCATTGAAGAAAAAGTAGCCAAATTGCATCAGTCTAAGGAAGGAACAAGGGGAGAATGGTAGAAATGCAAGAAAACTATAAAAATGCAAAACAGCTCGAATTTGCTAATGCAAGATGCAGATGTGGGTATGGTATTTTTAATTATGTTTGAATGGCTAAACATTCACACAGTTCACTATCCGAGGTTCCAGTCAATCACCGCCTCCCTTCTGTGCCTTCCCCCGACCCCGTCGGCAATTTCCTGCCTGGCCGTCCATAGATAGAATGGGAAGATAGAAATGGCTAGGTACAATGTCCCCCTTTTCTACCACTGTTGACATGTACGCAGAATGTTCTGTTCTAGACTTTTTATTATTATTATTCAATAAGAGATCTCCAGGATCATTTCCTGTCAAGTACAGAGGAGCTTCATTCTCAGAGTGACAGAGGCTACCCCACCTAACCAGACCCCTGTGAGTGCACATTGAGGTTGTTTCCAGGCTTTGGTTATTTCTCCAAAAGCCTGCAACACGTGGAGGTTGGAATAAACGGGAGTATGTATATTTTAAATTATGATAGGTATTGGGTGCTAATATAAAATAGAATTTATGGCAAGACACGGTAAATGGGGAAAACAGGGAAATGCTATGTATTTTATGTTTATAAAAGGAATAACCCAGCAAAAACATGTAACTGCCTTTAACCTTAAAACGCTTTGCAATGACATATGGAGAAAAGTGATGTTAACAATACAAGAAGAAAATGACAAACCCAGTGATACTAAAAACTTTAACAATAGCATCTATCAGAAAATAACAAATCAGAATGTAGGAATTTGGGTACCAATTAGCAAGCTTCAGTAAACACCAAGACATGAAATAGAATACATGCTCAGTAAGGGTTATTAATAATTCAAAAGCTCATTCTTATAAAAGACCAATAAAATGACCAAGCCTTTGCTTGGGTTGTAGCTCAGTGATAAAGCATTTGCTGGTACATGTGAGGCACTGGGTTCGTTCCTTAGCACCACATGAAAACAAAGGCATTGTGCCCAAGAGAAGATCACGTCTTTGGTAACTTCTCAGTAAGAGAGAGAAGTCCATTCCATCATTGGAAACTTAAGCTTGCAAGAACATACTAAATCTACTTTCACACCAGTGGATTTGAAAGTGTGGGGGAGTAAAAATGCCCAGGTAAGCATGCTTCTACTCCAACAAGAGAAAAGCACAGTAGGAATGTTGTCGGTCAGAGGAGTCGGCTCTGACCTCTGACGCAG